TGTGAGGTGATGGATAGTAACTAAACATTGTAGAAATTATTTCACAATATATATAAAGTATCAAATTATTATATTGTACATCTTAAACTTACACAGTGTCGTATTGCAGTTACAGCTCAATAAAACTGAAGAAAAGTAAGAGTAACTGAATAGGAATAACTTCTAATTGCAGAAAGATGAAAATTAACAAGGTTGGGAGGTCCTTATATGATTGTGGGAAAATAAAAAGCTGTGGAAGGCAAATGTTTTCCTAATTTAACAGTTCTGTGTAGGATCGGCTTTCTTTACCTTCACTTTTGTGAAGTTAAATAGAAGCTGTTTGCAAATGTATTTTTCCCATGTTATTATATGTATTTGCAGCTTAGTGAGACCATCTGATTGTTACATGATTTGTGATTTTTAAAAACATAGACATTTTTATTAAAACAAGAGTTCTTATAGGCAGTGGTTCACAATTTAACTTTCATCAGAATCACTTTTGGCTCTTTAAAAAACACAGATTCCCAGACCCCATCTTAAAGATTCTGAATAGAGATATGAGGATCACCGTTCTTTGTATTTGATGATAGTATACCATTTTAAACAACTAGAGTTTATTTGCATAAGTGTGAAGAATCTTTGTGACGTTTACTCAACCACATTTATGGGGCACATTTCATGTATTTACATGTTTCAAAGTGCTCTAGTTAATTCTAACATGAACCAGACAATTTTTATTTTACGCACAGATTGATTTTTAGTTACCTAAAAATAAGTGAATATTAGAAATAAAAAGTGTTTTTTATAAAAAAAGTCTCATTTTGAAACTAAATTGGTGAATATAATGTTTAGGTCTACATGAGATTTATAGTAATAGAGAAAATTTTGCTTCCATAGTAAACTAAGTGCAGATGAAATATTTTATCAGTGTTGTACACTTATCCACAACAACAAAGTTGAGTAGTTGTGATTGAGACCATATGGCTTGCACAGCTTAAGATATTTCCCATCTAGCTTTTTATAGAAAAAGTTCATTGACTCCTGACAAGGATTTACATTGTTTGTAAATAAGAACTGTTTTACTTCTTCCTTTCCAATATGAGTGCCTTTTCTTTCTTTTTCTTGCTTTATTGCACTAGTTAGGACTTCTGTATGATATTGAGTGGGAGTAGGAAGTGTCTGTGTCTTTGCTCTGTTCTCAGTCTTAGGAGAAAAGCATTTACTTTTTTACCATTAAGTGTGATGTTAGTTGTAGGTTTATGGATACTGTTTATCAGGTTAAGAAAACTCCCTTGTATTCCTAGTTTATTGAAAGTCTTTAACATGAATGAATGAATGCTGAATTTTCTCAAATGCCTTTCTGTATCTGTTGATGATGTGGTTTTTCTTGTTTAGTCTGTGAATATGTTGAATTATGTTGGTTTTTTTCAATGTTGAACTATTGTTGCATTTCCCAGATAAACTTCACTGGTTTTGATATATATCTATACCTATAAGGTATGTTGCTGGATTTTATTTGCTCATATTTGATTGAGGATTTTTATCTGTTTTTTTATGAGGGATATTGGGGCATTGGTGTTATTTCTTTAAATATTGAGTAGAATTTGTCATTGAAACTATATGGGCCTGAAGTTTTCATTTCAGGAAGGTTTTAACTTACAGATTCAATTTTTTTAATACAGGTCATGTATTTCTTCTTGGGTAAGTGTGGGCATTCTTTAGCTTTCAGAGCACTGGTCCATTTTATCTAAGCTGTCTAATTAATATGCATAGAGCTGTTTGCATTATTCCTTTTGACATCATGGGGTCTGTACAAGGATTATACACTTTTTTCCTGTTATGAGTAATTTGTACCTTCTTTCTTTTTTGGTTGGTCAGTTTAGCTAGAGATTTATCATTTTATTGATCTTTGCTAAGAACTACATTTTGGGGGTGCCTGGGTGGCTCAGCTGATTGAGCATATGCCTTTGGCTGAGGTCATGATCCCAGGATGCTGGGATTGAGCCCCAAGTCAGGCTCCCTGCTCAGCAGGGAATCTGCTTCTCCGTCTTCCTCTACCCTTCCCCCATACTTGTGCACTCACGCTCGCTCTCTTTCTCTCTCACTCTCTCAAATAAATAAATAAAATCTTTAAAAAAAAAGAACTACCTTAAGTGTTTTTTAAATTGTGCTTCTTTCTGCTTGCTTTGTGTTATTTTGCATTTCTTTTCCTTGTTTTTTAAGTAGAAAGTTAGATTACTGATTTGGGGGTGTTTCTTTTGTAATATAAGCACTTATAGCACTAAATCTATACTATGTAGATGTATTACTAATTTTGATTTGTTTTATTTTCATTTTTGCTGAGTTCAGAGTATTTTGTAATTGAACATTTCTCTTTCATTTTGATCCATGGATTATTTGGAATTGTGTTGCTTTATTTTTCAGTATTTGGAGATTTTCCAGATGTATTTCTCTTATTGATTCTAGTTTAATTATATTATGCTTACTAAACCTATTTTTTACAATTCAATTTTTAAAACTTAAAGATCGTGTTATAACCCAGGAAATAGTTTGTCTTGGAGAAAGTTCCATGTGCATTTGAATAGGGTGTGTAATCTGCCTTTGTGTTTTGTAGTGATCTATAAATACTAGATCCTGTAATTGGTGTTCAATTCTTCTATAACCTCAATGTGTTTTTGTTTACTTTGTTAGTGATTATTGTGAGAGGAATGTGAAATCTCCAATTATAAATGTGGGTTTGTCCATCTCCTTTAGTTTCCATCAAGTCTTTATACTGTTTAGTTGTTAGGTAAATTTATATATATTTACTTTTGTGTTCTCATTGACTTGATTCTTTTAACATTGTTCAATGACCTTCTTTGTTCCTAGTGGTTTTTTTCTTGTGTGGTAGTCTACTTTGTCTTATATTGATACAAGTCTCTTTAGACTATATTAGTGTATAGTCTCTTCAGTTTTCTTTTGATTAGTGTTTTCTTGGTATAGCTTCTTCCCTCATTTTACTTTAACTTACTTATATTATTTAAAGTTTTTCTTTTTTAGACAATGTAGTTGTGTCTTGTTTTTAATAGAATCTGACAGTTTTTGTCTTTTAATTGGTATGTTTAGGTCATTATGTTTAATATAATTATTTACATGTTTGAATTTAGGTCTGTCATTTTATTGTCTTCTGTTTTTGTTTCTTTCTCATTTCCTGTCAACTTTTGAATTATTTGAACATTTAGTATTCCATTTTTACTCTATTGCCTTATGATAATTTTAGTGGTTGCTGTAGGGATTGAGGTCTCTGTGTCTTGAGTAGAGTAGAAATACAATTAAAATTTGGTTGGTTTAAACCTGATAACTTTTCATGGCTGTCTTCTCTCTTTTAATGGGCAATTTTTAACTTTTATTATTTGCTAATTGATTTGAAGATACACCTGAGATTCGATTTGGGATTCAGAATTAATTCTTGAAAACAGTGAATAGTTAGTAGCTATATATATATTTTTTAAAGATTTTATTTATTTGACAAACAGAGATCACAAGCAGGCAGAGAAGCAGGCAGAGAGAGAGGAGGAAGCAGGCTCCCTGCTGAGCAGAGAGCCCAAGGCAGGGCTCGATCCCAAGACCCCGGGATCATGACCTGAGCCAAAAGGCAGAGGCTTTCACCCACTGAGCCACCCAGGCACCCCTAGTAGCTATATTTCTATAATTTAAATGGATTATATATAGTACAGGTAGATATTAGAGATAATTTTATCTCCATATATGCCTATATTATTCTTGTTTTGTGTTTTTTAGAGCCACTGTGCTATAAACATTGAAATAATGATGATAATAACAAGTGTTATTATTATTAAAAATTTGTTTCAGATACTTTGATAAATGTCCAGAGTTGATATAGATACTGTGACTCAGCAAAATTAAGTAATTTGTCCAAGACTTCACATCTTATTAGTAGTAAAATTTGAATTCAGATCCATGTCAGTTTGATTCCAAAGTTCATATGCTGTAGTATTAGTCTAGCCATTCATTCTACTGGTGTTTGTTGAGTACCTACTATGTGTCAGATACTATATTATTTCTGATTGAAAAATCAACAAAGTCCTTGCTGTTATGATGCCTCTGTCTTGTAAGACTGTCATTAAACAAATAAATATAATAACAAATGTGTTAATTACATTGTGGTAGTGCTGTGAAGGGGAAGGACAGGGAATGAAAAGTATCAGAAACATGAGGAACTTAGTTTGGATAGTTTGTAGGAGACCTGTACCCCTGAAACAAATAATACATTGTTATGTTAATTTAAAAAGTTAATACGTTAATATGTTAATTAATATGTTAATTTAAAAAAGATAGTTTGTAGGAGTGACATTAGCAATAAAGATCTAAGAGTGATGGGAGTTAGAAAGGCTCTGTTGGCCTGGAGAACAGGATCTCCCAGGGTCTTAAGTTGGAAAAGAATTTAAAGGTTCTTGGAACTGAAACAAGGCCAGAGTGGTTGGAATATAGTAACATGCTGTGGGTGTGAATTGAGACTGGAAAGAGAGGCAGGGGCCAGGTTACCTAGGGCTTTGTAGGCTGTGCTAGTTTAATTGACAGTTACCTTAATTTTTCCTCCTTAGGAAAGGGCCATAGAATGTAAACCATTTATAAAGTAAGAACTGTCTACTTCCATGAATTACTTAATGGATATAGCTGCTATCTTTTTATCTCAATGCAAGGTATAGTCAGTCCTGGAAATCTAGCATTACTTTTATATCTACCCTAGAAAATGTGGTGGTTCAAGTTTTTTTGATAAAAAGAAAATTTTTCCCACAATGTTTAGTAGGTTTCATTGGTTAAAATAATACAAGAAGAATAATGCATTTAGAATATCATGCAGAGAACAACACACTTTAAAATTTTTCTTAAGACATACAGGAGATCAAACATGACATGCTACTCTTAATTTCAGCTGTTTTTAATGAACCTTGAAATACTATCTTTTAGCTTTTCCTTCACATTTCTAATATTGGATCACATGTTTATGTCTTTCTCAGTCTGAGGGAAAAGGGCACACCAGTGCTGGAGATGCAATATATGAGGTAGTAAGTCTACAACGACAGTCTGAGAAGGAGGAACCAGTCACTCCCACTAGTGGAGGGGGTCCAATGTCACCGCAGGAGGATGAAGCAGAAGACGGTAAGAAGTGACACTGAGTTCTCTTTCTTTACATAGCTGCTGTACTTATAACCCTCAGCGCTGTGTGTGTGTGTGTGTGCGCTTGTGTGTGTGTGAGGGGTGCGGGAGGACAATGATGATTATTCCTAGTCTCCCCGCCTCTGCTGCTCTAGATTCTGCTAGATGCAGAAGAGATTTCGGTCCATTGCTTCCTTGGTTGCATAGTTCCCAGTGCCATTTATGCATCTGTTTAAATTTGCTGTTTTGCTTTCTGTTTTATTTCAAATATTTTTGAAGTGTTTAATGAGAAGTTTCAACTTTTCTCACATGTCTTTAGAATTTCAGTGATAGGTCATATCCCACTACTCATTTGATGTTATTTAGTTTTGACTTGTTTTTTGTTGTTGCTTTATCATTTTACCACTCAGTTTTTTGAAATAGCATGGTGTATGCTCTGTTTACTACGTGGATGCTACTGAGAGATGCTTACTGACCTCACAAGGGTCTCACTTCATTTGGCTCTGTGCTTAGTATTCTTTTTATAGGAACTAGAACTAACTGGCAGATCTTTACTTAAGCCCTTAAATGATCTGCTTATAGGATAGGGTTTATTAAAAATTTCTGAGTTTATATCATCTTTGAAAAAATGATCTTAGAATTCTTTCTCTCTATGAAACCATTCCTTTATTTGTTTTGCCATACAGATACTGGTTATTTTTTGGCTTGTATTTATTGAGTGTTTATTACATGCTAGACATTGTTCTAAGTGTGTAATTAAAAAAAAAACTTTGTGAAGGTATAATTTACATACAATGGAATGTATCCATTTTATTTATTTATTTACTTACCTATTTATTTAGAAAGATTTTATTTGTTTATTTTTAAAGATTTTATTTATTTATTTGACAGACAGAGATCACAAGTAGGCAGAGAGGCAGGAAGAGAGAGAGGAGGGGAAGGAGGCTCCCTGCTGAGCAGAGAGTCCGATGTGGGGCTTGATGTGGGGCTGGATCCCAGGACCCTGGGATCATGACCTGAGCCGAAGGCAGAGGCTTTAACCCACTGAGTCATCCAGGCGACCCTAAAAATTTATTTTTTATAAATAACTTTTTTATAACAAATATAAGCTATTTTTCAAGTTGTACCATTTTCCATCTTTATCAGCAACATAGAGTTACTTGCTTCATATCATTTACCACATTTGGCAACTGTCAATTTTTAAATTGACAGTAGCTGTTCTAGTGGGTGTATAGTGGTATCTTGTGACATTAATTTGAATTTCCCTAATGACTTACCATGTTGTTCAATTTTTCATGTGGTATTTGCCATTTGTCTATCTTTTTGGTCAACAGACCATTCAGATCTGTTGCCCATTTTTAAATTGGGTTGTTTTCTGTTTGAATTTTCATATTTCATCTCTCTGTGTATATGCAAATATGTAAAAGTCCTTTATTGATATATTTTGCAAATATTTTGTCCCACCCTGTAGTTTGCCTTTTCATTTTTTGAACAATGTCTTTTGGAGAGTAAAAGTTTAAGTTTTATGAAGTCTAATTTGTCAGGTTTTTTCCTTAATGATTTTGTCTGTGATCCACTTAAATTTTTATGTTTAGTTGGAGGTAAAGCTTAGAGGTTTTTTGTTGTTGCTTTTGTTTTTTGTTTTGTTTTGTTTGTTTTTGGGCTTAAAACTCCAAACCTGTTATTATATTTTATGGCTTCTGAAGGTCAGGAGTTAGGGAATGGTTTTTGTGGGCAGTTCTGGTTAAGAGTTTCTTATGAATTGTCAGGTGTTGTCTGGGGACATAATCATCTAAAGACTTCCCTAGGTGGGGCTGAAAGGGTCCCATTCACGTAATTACCAAAATGATGCTGGTGGTTGGCAAGCAACTTTTCTTTCTCTCACATGGGCCTTCCCCAGGGGCTGCTTGGGTGTCATTGTGAGATAATGGCTAACTTCCTTCAGTTAGCAATCCAGGAGACCAAGGTAGAATCTGCAGTGCCTTTTATGTCCTAGCTTTGGAGTCATGCAATATCACTTTCATAGTATTCTCTTGATTACAGAGTTCAGCCCTTCCATTGCGTGACTCCACTATATTCTATACAAGACTCCCAAGAGCACTGTTGTGGTCATCTCCTTCCCAGCCAACACAAAGAGGAAAAGATCAGAGATCACATGCAGGAGAATTTTAGGCCAGACCTAGAAACACATTCTTTTCTGGTAAACAAGAACCACAGCACTGGTTTGGGAATGTAATTGAGCTATATGCACAGGAAGAAAAAGCAAGTGTTTCAAGTATCTACCAGAAAGTAATTTGAACACAACATTTCAGGTAATGTTTTACAAAAATGCCAGTCTTAGAAATGAAAAATACATGGAACTAGAATTGGGAGAGAACAAAAATAATAGAATGACAGGTGCTACTCAATAGGAATAGATTATATTATACATTATATAATACATTATATAATTTAGTAAATAAAAATTCCTTACTTCTATCCACTAACTTAAAAGAAGGTTAACTAACATGGATTAGATATCTGATATGTGGCATATAATGTATTAGATATTTAATAAATTTAGTTTTATATTTTACTCACATTAGCCCTGAGAAATAAGTATTATCATCTTTATATAACATATGAAGAAATAGACTAAAAAGTTTTAGGTAAATCATTTGGGGTCAGAGGGCTAATAATAATACACAGAATCTGGGACGCCTGGGTGAATTAGTTGGTTAAGCCTCTGCACTGGGTCCTGCATTGGGCTCCTTGCTCAGCGGGGAGCCTGCCTCTCCCTCTGCCTTCTGCTTCCCCTGCTTGAGAAATAAACAAACAAATGAATAAATAAAATATTTCCCCTGAAAAACAAATAAATATTTGAAAAAAATAATATACAGAATCCAAACCTATGTTAGTCTCACTCTAAAGCCAGTGAATTTTCGTGACCTACAAGATCAAGGTATTCTTCTTTAAACCATGAATTGTAACTCCACTCTCAATTGCTTAAAAGGTAGTATTTTTAATATTATAGACAAGATATTTTAGATCTTACATATTTCAGATCCTATTCTAGATCTAATATCATATGCCTTGGATGGAAGACTATAATGTAACATAATATGAAAATATAACATGAGACTCTATCGTCCAAACAGCATATGTTATGTGAAAGCACTTTTGGAGAGTGATTTCAGCATACAGATCAACTAGTGCATTAAAAAAGACCTCTAATAAAAAAAAAATAAAATAAAAAAGACCTCTAGATATAGAATATTTCAATTATGTTGGCCAGAAGCAAACATCCTTCTTTAAAACCTTTGGAAGCCAAAATATTCTCTTCAACAGAAGTCTTTCAGACAGACAAGTCCACCTTTAATTTATTTTCCATGAGTTTTGTCTGACATATTACTTGATGTTATTCAAGGCTTAGAAAGGTATGTTTTGGTTTAGTGGTAATTACTTCAGGGGTGAGAAGATTTGAAAGTTGTGCAGATGCACTTGAAGGGAAGAGCTGCTTACTTATGGAAAGCAACATTACTAGAAAATGGATACATTGAGAAGTAAATGGCAAACCAAATGATCCCAGGTTTAGCTTGCTACTAATTAGCAAAATATTCAGAAACAGTCACTGCCAGGATCTTAAGATCATGTAGCTGAGCATTGAAAAGGCCATTTTTTAAATCTTACTGAATTAGGCACAGGCTTCATTTTTACTTTTATTGAAGTATAATTAACATACAATGTTATATTAGTGTTGGGTGTGCAATGTAATGATTCAACAATTCTATACATTTCCATTGTACAGCATGCTAAGTGTAGTCACCATCTGCCGCCAAACAACATTATTGCTATCTTATTGACTATATATTCCATATGCCCTACTTTTCATCTTCATGACTTACTTATTTTGTAACTGGAAGTTTGTACCTTTTAATCCCCTTTCTCTCTTTTACCCATCTTCCCATCTTCTCCCCTCTGGCAACTACCAGTTTGTCCTCTTTTTTTTTTTTTTTAATTTATTTTAAGATTTTATTTATTTATTTGACAGAGAGAGAGTGATCACAAGGAGGCAGAGAGGCAGGCAGAGACAGAGAGATGGGGAAGCAGGCTCCCTGCTGAGCAGAGAGCCTGATGCGGGACTCAATCCCGGGACCCTGGGATCATGACCTGAGCTGAAGGCAGAGGCTTTAACCCACTGAGCCACCCAGGTGTCCCTGTCCTCTCTCTTTTTAAAAGATTCTAGTTATTTATTTGAGAGAGAGAGAGAGTGAGAGAGAGAGAGAACATGAGCAGAGGGAGAGGCAGAGGCAAAGGGAGAAGCTGACTTCCTGTTGAGGGTAGAGCCAGAGTGGGGTTTAATCCCAGGTTGCTGAAATCATCACCGGAGCCGAAGTCAAAGGCTTAACTGACTGAGCCACCCAGGTGTCCCTGTTCTTTTTAAGAGTCTTTTTTTCTTTGCCTCTTTTTTCTTTGTTCATTTGTTTTTTTAGATTCCACATATAAATGAAATCATATGGTATATATCTTTTTCTGTTTGACTTATTTCCCTTAGCATTTATGCCCTCTAGGTCCATCAGGTTGTTGCAAGTCCTCAGGGAAATGTAAATCAAAACCACAGTGAAGTACTGCCTTACACTCATGAGAATGGCTAGAATCAAACACGAGAGAAATAACAGGTGTTGGCGAGGATGTGGAGAAAAGGGAACGCTTGTGCACTGTTGGTGGGAATGCAAACTTGTGCAGCCACTGTGGAAAACAGTGTGGAGGTTCCTCACAAAATTAAAAATAGAACTACCATATGATACAGTAATTCCATTATGGGGTATTTGCCTAAAGAAAACAAAAGCACTAATTTGAATTGATAAATGCACCCCTATGTTTATTGCAGCATTATTTACAAAACCTAAGGTATGGAAGCATCCCCAAGTGCCCATTGATAGATCAATAGATAACGAAGAGGTAGTATGTATGTATGGTGGGATATTAGCCATAAAAAAACAAGATCAAGCTTCATTTTTGTT